GGGGAAACAAACCGGATGGTTTCAGGGCGGAGGAATATTGGTAAAATAAAGGAGGATGCCCAATTGAAACTGTGTCGATACGTAAAATGAAAAAGAAACAACTCCAAAGTGATCCAGATTACTCCGTGGGATTGGGTAATCAGTACTTTGGATATAATTGGATTAATGTAAGTCTTCGTTTACAAATATCTCTTTTTTTTTCTTTCTTTTTACTGAAGGTCCTTAAAAATGCTGGTAAAATATCTCTAATGTATGGCAAGTTTTAACAACATGTTTCCGTCGTTATAGAAAAGTCAATGGGGAAAGAATTGGGGCCAAAAAACTTTTGAGTAGTAACTTTGGATTTCCTAGCCTCGTCCAGATTTGAACGAAATCGGAGTCAGTGAGGTCTAGGGAAATATGGTAACAATCGGGTGATCTATTTATGATTTTGAATGCATGAGTAGTTAGATAAGTTGTTAAGGAATTCATACGACTTTACGAAATGGAATTCGGGTAAGTAGAACTCCCGGAATGGATCTTAGCGTAATGATATTTTCTGAGCATCATTGGTTAAAGGTGTGTTGTGAAATGGGGGTCTTGGAATTATTAAAATAGCTCATTGTTTCGTGCAAGCCACTTTGGCGGAGGTTTTGGTCGCTCTGGCAATGCCGCTGTAGCGGAACCGATGCGACTTATGACGGAAATAAAACCCCAAAAATGTTTTATTCTGCACTTTTCGACTTTGAGAGCGAAAAAACGATCCCAGGGGTTTTCTTGACAGTTTTCCACCATTCTTGAGGCTAAAGGTATGGTTTTAACTCCCCGACTCCATTTTTCGATCCGTAGAACGTAATCTAATGGGTAATTATCGATGTGGGAAAGGTTTAATTTAGAAACTAATGGTGGAAAAAGCTCTAAATTGGGTATTAGGATCTTGGGTTTGGTCTAGGGTTATTGGGTTTGTTATAATTCGGATAATTAGACCTTTGATTGTTGACCATTGCGTTAATTGTATATTTTTAGACCACGAACAAGAGAAAAGAATCCAGAAAGGAAGATTCAAGTTTCTTAGGGGATTCAAGCTTGGATTCAAGGTAGGTGATGGTTGTGATTTCATGATCGTGTGATATATGTTTGTTCTTGTTTCATTATAATACGTGTATGTATGCGAATGTTGCACTATTGATCACACTACTTGTGAATGAGGATATATGAATGATGAATGTCGTGAATCATGACTTGATTGTATAATTATGAGAATGTACTTTGTGATTGTGATTGTGGCTTGTTGAATAGATCGGGTGTTGCGTTCCGACACACTAACTTGGATCGGTTGTCACGTTCCGGCATAAATATGGGATCGATTGCCATGTTCCGGCAAAAACATTGGATTGGGTACCACGTTCGGTATGCTAACAGTTTGGGTGTGGGTTCCATGAGAGGACCATTGATTTGACATAACTGTATATCTTGATAAATGTGAAATTGTTCGTTGTTCATAAATGATATCGATATTGTGTATATATTCGGTGTATGCATGTTATTATATTGTTGTAATGACTTATGTATATTGCATTTAGTGGGATAGTCGTGTGATCATACCAGTACACTGTGATTGTGTACTGATACTGCACTTGCTCTTTCTTTGTTTAGTACATGGCATCTTCAGGCGGCTATTGATAAACCTCAGCTAGGTGACTAATGAGCGTGACCGAATTCAAGGGTGAGCCAGTTCTTTCAGGCTATCATGGATCTTTCTTGTTTAAGTCCACTCTTTTTGGACTCAGACTATTTGTTTAAGGTGTTGTTTAGTTTCGAGGTTGTACCCCTTGTTCTTAGACTTGTCGTTAGTAGAGTTTTGTTACATTGACTTTCAGGTTCTAGGGGTTATTCTTCCGCATTAGTTTGGTTAGTTGTTTGTTAAAACCTTGGAGTTTATGGGGACTTCATTTTTATAGTCATTTAAACCTTCTTTCGTATCTTTAAATGTCTTAGTTTTCATAAAATTTGTTAGTTTAGGTTGTAGTAATGGTTCTCCAACCATAGGGTTAGTGTGGGTGTCAATCACGACGGTCTGGGTCGTGACAAAGTTGGTATCAAAGTCCTAAGTTCATTGATCTCATTGTACCAAAACGAGTCTAGTAGAGTCTTGCGGAACGGTACAATGACGTCCGTACTTTTCTTCGATAGGCTATAGGACTTTAGAAAAAAAAACTCACTTCTTTCTACTCCTTCGTTCTATGACTTAATCCAATTGGTATCTGGTGATATAAATTGGTATCTTTCATCCTTCACTCTATGGTCCGGACTAGAGCAACAAAAGTGGTTACACCATCACTAGCAAGAGAGGATGTGTATAGACTACCGACAGTTGAATAGTGCCACAATTCAGAACAAGTATCCATTGCCTCAGATAGATGACCTTTTTGACTAATTGCAAGGTGCATCGGTTTTCTCTAAGATTGATTTAATGTCTGGTTACCATCAATTAAAGATTGACACTACAAGAAAAGTATGAATTACATGGGGATTTTCCTGGGGATTAGTATGAAAATCCGTAGGAAACTTATTTTCCTGCAAATTTTCATACTAATCCCCAGAAAAATTCTCATGTAATTCACACTTTTCTTGTAGTGTGAGGCGGATAAGAATTGGTTCGACCAAGTTCTATAATTAAAATTAGCAGTTTTGTGGGGATCGCTAGCTATTATTGTTGCTTGTGGTATGAATTGAGTCCAATTGGTATCTCCCGATTCCAATTGATATCTCAACGAAGTGAACTAGACATCGTAGTCCCGGCTGAAGGACACAAGCAAATTAATTGGAACTGAGAAGATTCCAATTGGTATCTGGCCTTAGGGGTCGTATAAGGCATAGATGATTAGTAACGGTCATCTATGGAACGAACTTATTGAAGAATTTGGTCTTATTTGTAAGTTGTAACTCCTTGAGTGTCGTGAAACTTGTTGTGAAAAGAAAGTCATCACGATATTACGTGCAAGGGTCTAGATAAATTACGATGTGGTTCGTAAGCGAGAAATCTAGACATGCGATGCGACTAACTGATAACCGTGTGAGAGTTAGGGTATATCCTGCAGATATGTGTACGGTAGTGTTGAAACTATGTAAAAGGATTCTAAAGTGCGTACTTCGTTGGGTTGACTGGGTGGTAGACAACGATTGTCCTAGCTAAAGGGATTTTCTTTAATGCCTATTAATAGCCGAGAAATCTAGGGGAAATATAGAAAAGAGAGGAACCCCATAAATTGTTGGCAAGGGTTCTGTTTCCGTCAGGGCCGCTGGGGCAGGATTTTCCCCTCCACGGCGAGATCGCCAGTGCGAGATTTCTCCCACTAGAGCGGGACAGGATGAGACAAAATCTCAACCCTGTCTCACATGTTTTCCCCTAGACACAATTATGGACCACGAATCGTACCCGAACTAACCCCGCGAACTAATTCAGTGTTCAACAATCGAATATAAGTTATAAGGTGTGTTAAAATTGTGGAGAACCTGGGCATAAGAGGAGGAAATCAGCGAGGCCGTGGAGGCCGGGGAAATGGTAATGCAAGTAGATGAGTAGTGTAGCTAGGCAAGGAGGTTGCCCGTCAAGAGGACATGACTCAGTTTTATGTTTTTTCGGGTAAGATCGAGTTTGAGGGTGTGATGCAGTGGTCACAAGAGCTACTCTTGTAAGTGCCCGGATGGCTATTGTTTTGTTTGATTCGGGTTCTACTTATTCGTATGTGTCAGTTCAATTGCCTTGGGATTTGATGTGGTTTGTGATATACTTGATGCCCCCATCCATGTTTCTACCCTAGTTAAAAAGTCAGTCATAGTCACCCATGTATATCTTGTTGTCCTGTTGTGTTTATGGATTTTTAGATTTGGGTTGATTTGGTTATGCTAGATATGACTGACTTGATATAATCTTAGGCATGGCTTGGTTGTCCCCCTATTATACCGGGCTTAATTGTAATACCAAGTTGGTAACTCTAGATATCCCTGATAGGGAAAGATTAGAGTGGGAAGGGGTGTACAAGCCTAAGCTAGGTAAGATCATATCCTCCATTCGGGCGAGGAAACTGGTAGGGCAGAGTTGTTTGGCTTATTTGGCTCATGTTTGGGATGTTGAGGTTGAGTCTCCCTCTATTAAGTTTGTTTCTGTGGTGTCTTAGTTGAAGGAAGTGTTACCTACGAATTTTTCCTAGTATGCCTCCATATAGAGATATAAATTTCTGCATTGACTTGGAAACTGACACTCGCCCCATTTCCATCCCTCCATATCGTATGGCTCCAACAGAATTAAGAGAGCTTAAGGCTCATATCCAAGAGCTTCTTGATAAAGGGTTCACTACAACAAATTTGGCCTAAGGCCACCCTGATTCTAGAGCACACTTAATAAATATTGCCAAAATATATAAGGGCACACTTTTAAAGTGTAGCCTTTGTTTAAAGCTTTTGACTACAGAAAATAAGACAACACTAAAAAAATGTGCCATTAAATAATATATATTACACTTTATAAGTGTTGCCTAATCATAGAATAATTAACAACACTTAATTATATGTATAGCTACGCTATTAAGCGTGGTGAATTTATAATAATATTGGCAACACTTTATAAGTGTTAGGTTAAATAATCTCAAAAGTATTTCAGCTACATAATTTTTCCCTCCATATTGCTTTTAGGGGAATTACCCCCACAACTCACCAGTAAAAGGGCAAAACAATATTCTCTCTAAATTCTACCCTCATCGGTTCTTAAAGTTATGAGATATCCCTCCTCCCGAACTCATCGTTCAATTTTGGGCATTAGATTGTCAAGGAAGATGTTACCTATCTCGCTTCAGCACTTCAACGAAGTAACAATGCCACCATAATCTTATTAGAGTCTGTCTCAGGTAGGGTTTTTGACATCTTCTGCCAAATTTTAAGAAAAATCTGAATTTTTTGCTACTTTGGAGCTGAACGCGCCTGAACCACACACTGAAGTCGGGTCGGACCCGAATCCCGAAATGGTGTCCGATTCTGTGCAGAAACTTGACGGAACAATTGAGGAAGATGCTGCTAATGTTGATGGGTCTGTACCTAAACGGCCTCATTTGGAGGAAAAAGCTAATGGATCGGGTATTTTCCTCGTTTTCCTCTTTCTTTTAGAGCTAACCCTTGTTACAGTTTACATTGTTTTAGTGTCTTGCATTGTGATTTTTGTGCAGTTATTTTTGGTGTTTAGTCTTCATTTTGGTGTTCTTGTTAAGAGCCAAAGATGATGATTTCGGTTTTGTTATGTGGTTGCTTTATTTCTTGAATTCTGGTGTGCAATGTTTTAGGTCTTTTTTATGAAGTTCTTGTGGTGGAAAATACTTGAGAAGGGGAATTGGGTTTTTGTGTTGAACTTGAAGTACTGGGTAAGTGGATATGTGTGTAATTAATGTTTATATTGAGTTCAAATGTTGTTGAACACTACTTTTAGGGACTGCAATTGTTGTTAAATGTGAAAAGTACCAAGATTATATGTATAAGTAGTCCATTTAGGAAATCTTATTACCTTCTTTTACCCGTTTCCAGCTTGTTCTTCTATATGTTTCAGTGTCTTTTCTCTTATAAGTTGAAATTAATTACTCTCCTCATCTTATATCTAAAATCTAATTGATGATTTATTGTTTGTAATATATATCCAGAGTACTTACAAAGATGAAGTGCCATAGAAAAATATGATGTTTATAGCTTTGGAGTTCTTCCATTGTTCTCCCTCTTGTTTCTCACCGTCAGATTTTTGCTTGAAAGATTTGTTTTTGAGATATTTTCAGCTTTGAATTCTGTTTGTTTTCTGGCATCTGTTTTCAATTGGTCAGGAGTGATTCAGTCTTGAAAATTCTGGAAATTTGAGATTTTTGTGTATTTTATTGTTGTCTTTTGATGGGATTTTGTTAGTTTTTTTCTGATTCTAGTGTGGATGAATCTAAGTGACAGTTCTACGATATCTACGCTAGTCATTGACCTTTTGTCTGAGGTAACTTTTTTTAGCTATTCCTTTGAACTCCTAGTTCTAAAGTCCTACCCAGGGACATTGTATGTAAGAAATTAATTTGATGATATTTCATGAGGATAAGTATTTGAATTGGTTGAAGGTTCTGAAATCGCATTCTATCTGTTTTTGTTAGTATAAAATTAAAGCTTGTAGATGATTATTGTACTAACAATAGCTTAGATGAAGAAATCAAGCTGAAGTTTGAGAGTTGACCCACCCTTAGTTGCGCGGACTCTTCACTTTTGAAGCCGCACCTGTGTCGGATTCTCCAAAAATACACTACTTTTGGCGAATCCGACACGCACCCATTGACATTTTGGAAGAGTCCGAGCAACATAGGACCCACCAAATTGAATATCAACAGTTGGTGTGGGCACAACAGGTAATAATTCAAATTACGGATAAACTCGTTTCCTTGAACCTACAAATTATTGGAAAACTTAATTCCAACACAAATAGCAAACATGACTATTTTTTTTAAAGCGATATGCTAGATATTGGTTTTGTGAATGTTGAAGAATGATTTCACATTTAACAGGAGTATGCTAAAGACGTCCCTCAAAAGAACACTTTTATGATTTCTCTATATTCCTTTTTGTTTCAATTTTGATCTTTCCATGACTGATATTGGATGTTCTGTAGCAGTCATTTATGGCTCAATATTTGTTTTGTGAATGTTGAAGAATGATTTCACATTTAACAGGAGTATGCTAAAGACGTCCCTCAAAAGAACACTTTAATGATTTCTCTATCTTCCTCTCTGTTTCAATTTTGATCTTTCCATGACTGGAGTATTGGATGTTCTCTAACAGTCATTTATGGCTCAACTTTTGCCAACACAGCATAAGGTTCAGTAGAGTGGTTTATTCCTAGTTCATTCTTCTTGATCAAAAGAGGTTGTGGTGTTTTATTTGCTGTTATGTGATCATTACCACATTTTGACTCTTTTAACTACAGAATAATAGTACTTTTATTTTTTACATCTCTTTTGAATGATGATTCTTTGCTTAAGTTACATATTTCAACATGTCTAGTAAAAAATGTTGTCCAGTTATTACATCTTTGTAGTCTTTTTACTTTGATTGAGTGACTGAGAGTCTTGCTTGGGTAATATTAGATAAGCCACTCATACATACTGCTTTAGATATATTTTCCTTGTTCTCGAAATAGAATTTTTTGAAGTGTATCTGGGAACTATTTTTCTTCTGTATCTTTTAGGTTGAGTGTATATTTTACCTTTCACAACAGTAATGAGCATCTTCCTATGGCAGTACACCTGGAAATCCGCATAATCCAAAAAGGTACACACGTGGTTCTTCCTCCGATTCAGCTGTAATTGTCGATTCTGGATTGTGCTCAGCAGCATTGCGAACAAATGGTGGAGGTTGTATGACATATCGGGCGTAGTGAATTAGTAATTTGTTTTAAAATGGTTATAGATTTTCAAGATTCATTCATTTGAAGTCCAGGTTCAGTAGGAATTCATGCTTCTCTTTGCGGGGTTGTGGGCTTGAAAACAACATTTGGACGGACAGATATGATAGGGTTAGTTCATGAATGGCAGGTCAATGTGCATCTATACCTTAATGCTTATGAATTATATTGTTTCCTTCCAGAAAACTTTTCGTCTGCTGTTAAAGTTATGATCTTCTGCCTCATACAACTTGCCTCTGTGCTCTTGCCTAAAAATTGTTCTTTTCTTTAGTTATCCATATTTTCTGGATTCTAAAAGTCTCTATGTTTAACATGTACTCTTCAATATCTGTAAAGGGCATTTTTTCATTTTTCTAGTGGATAGGTGAAACAATCATTATAAACCTAAAACTATGTGTAAGGCATGATGCAATCAAGTATATTTTTTCTTGGCCATAGTGAACTCAAAAACATTATTTCCCAGGCACTTCATGGTATGAGAAATAAGGTAGCTTTGTAGAGAAGTGAAGCCTTTACTGCAGTAGTTTATAACTCTATTCTGCACATTGCTTAGAAATGTAATCAAATAAGAGCCCCATACGCTTTCTACACACACACTATTTACATAATCCATACTGTGATACGACAACGAAGGAGACACCGAGTACATGCACTACTTACATCTTGCAGATTCGTAAATAATTCAAATTTAAGATATCGGTAAAAAAAAGAAAGGTTTTTGGCTTTCTATTCTTTCATTACAGAATCCAAAAACAAGAAAATACCAATGTACTTCATGTCTCGTGAATGTTGTTTGAGTGCGCACAGAAGCAAACTAAACTTTTTTTTATATTCATGAACATGGAAAGTGATGTTTCATATAGTCATGTCCAAGAAGCTAGATGCTAAAACAAATAATATTAAGTTCATTTTATTTTGTGATATGTTTCATTTTTACCATTGTCAATGATATTAGAATGAACTCCCATACACTGTTGCAAGGGTAGATATGTGTATAATTTTGTCCATCTCTGTTCTTTTCTCAGGTCACTGTGGGAAGCAGGAACTGTCCCAATTATCGGACCCATCACAGCTACACTTGAGGATGCCATACTTGTGTTAGTAATTGGGTTTTATTGCCAATTTCCTTACAAACAAATAGTCAATGAAAATCTCTGATATTCATCTTAGGATTTTTTTATTTACCTCTTTGACTTGATTACATATGCACCTAAAATTATTTTGCTGTTGCACTGTTTACATTCTGCATCAATTTCATTTAACTTTATGTGAGCTAAACAATGGTGAAGAAGATACAACTAGAACATTCACAGTACAGTCCCACAAGTGGGGTCCGGGGAGGCTGGAGTGTATGTAGGCAGACCTTTTAAAGATAGATCAATTAGGATGTATATATATTTTAAAATAATAGGTTGTATGTTTGGGGATCTTTTTGTTAAATTTGGTCCAGCTATCTTGATCGTGGTGATAAGACCACTCTTATGGTTGATATGTGTTGATTATTGGCATTTCCTTACAACTTTTCAGGTATGCAGCAATCTCGGGACATCTCCAGCTGATCGAATTCGGCTGAATCCTGTAATCACTCCCTAACTGTACTTTCACAAAATTTCAAGATATTGTTCTGTTTGAGGGTTCAGTTTAACCTTTTTTCCCTTCATTAGTGTAAATACTTTAGTTAATATTAGTAAATAGGGTATCAGATCAGTTTTCTTACAATTGCTTTACAGGCTTTCATTTTGATGTTTGATTTCACGTGTTCTGATATTGACATGGTGTGCTATCTTAACCCCAACTGCATCTTACCTGTTTTTTATGTCCTTGGTTTGCTCACACATGGATTCTTGCTTTCAGGATATGTATGATAAGGCTGACAAACTACTTTATTCATCATTAAACGAGTGGGGTTTGTTATTAGCAGCATCAGATAATCTTAATCATGTTTGGGCTCAAACTCTTGTAGATCCATTTTTACGGCGGCTCATTTTAAGGTAGGTTGCCACTGTTCGCCAACATTTTCTTCAGTACTCATCTTAGTCATCTAGTGTCAAGCCTTGAAGTAGGGCCTCGAGTGGCTGAATATGGAAGTAGTTGATTTGACATTGAGCACCTAGCAAAATCTGATACTTCGCTGGTATAAATTGTTGATTCACTCGTACATTTTTTTATTCCAAGATGTTGGTTCGGAGTGTCAGTTAAATTGGTATTTATTTTTATTTTCTCAAGGCTCATGGGTGTGAGGGTGGATATGATGTTGGTTCGGCATGTCAATTAAATTGGTCTCTATTTGTATTTTCTCAAGGCTTATGGGCGTGAGGGTGGATGTGGAGGTTGAGCATGAATTCTTTTTTGAGGAAATTTCTTGAGAATGGTAAAAAAAATCATAAATGTGTAGCACCAAAGGTTGTGCTAAAACCATATGTACAATTTAAAGGGAACATAAAGTTAGCTTTCTTCTACTTCCTAATACAGGAGTTCTATAATATCCGAGGCATATAATTTAACTCTTGTACAAGCCTTTTCGTCTTCAAAAGACCTCTGTAATGATTGTTTCTCTGTCTCACTGATGCAGGGACATCCAACAAAATGGAACTTAGGTCTCCATTCCTCTGTTTCATTGTAGAGTTCCTGGTAGAATGATATTATTTCCCATTTAATAACTCGAGGCTGTCACCCCTTTAATCTCCAATTTGTCATTTTTTAGAAAATTAAAATGACAAGTCAGTTGAATCCTTTAAGGGTTGTTTGGTTTGAAGTATTCGGAAATATAATCATGGTAGAATTTCTTGCATTGTTTTATCCCTTGTTTGGTCATTATTCTCAATTTCTCATATCCTGTATAGGCAATCTTCGTAAAACTTGTACAGGAATATCAACCTAATTCTTATAATACTATAAGAATATGTACTATATGTTAGATTCCTTTAATTTTTAATTTTATTATGAATGTGTGTGGGAGATCCAATTTGAAATGGCGGCCTCAAATTCTATCGATCTATCGGACTGAATGATGAAGACTTGTTGAACAATGATGTTTAAATTTGTGATTAATTCTTTTGCAATTCATTGGAAGTGCACATCTTGAAACATTGTTTTATCGGAAAACGGTCATATTTGCCCCTATATTCTTAGAAAAGGGTCATATTTACCCATCGTTATATTTTTTTGATATATTTGCCCTTACCATCCAACTTTGAGGCCATATTTACCCTTCATCCGTTAAATCCCATATTCCCACATAAATTACCTATGTCTACATGGATTTTATTTCCTCCTAAATATATCTAAAACATTATTTAAATTTTAATTGCCCACAATTTTGTTAAACTTCCATTGATTAATTTGGAAGTTTGGAGAGGAATACTAGAGAACATAGAAGTTTAGAGATGGTAATCTGTTTCGTCTCTCCACCACCAAATAGGTCCGATCATCCCAAAAAAATAAATCTTAAACCACTGTTAATTCGTCAGATCTTCACCACCACCGAAAAATTGTAACACCACCCTTGAACAATCAAATCAGATCCACCAAATAAATATATTTCTAAACAACATTAAATAATCTAGATACATAGAAGTTTTCTAGTAGTTGCGTCGAATTTAGTCTCATCTCATCCCCGTTTCTCCATCAATAACCACCGCGTAACAATCTTGTAGCCACCAGAAACCAACTTGAATCCTCCATCTCCATTGTTGAACTTCACCTCACCCTCTCCACCGTCTGAAACAATCGAAAAAAAAGAGCACGTGTAGATTGTTTGTAAAAATTCTACCTATTTTTTAATCAAATCGAGATTAAAGATGAAAGTTGGATGTACTTAACAAAAAAATATTGGATTAAATGTTAAAAATTGTATTAGTTCTTAATCTTATTGGTGTATGATGTGAAAAAGGATATATATAATTTTCTATGTTTGTTGTATAAAACGCCCATGGAGAAAAATTAAGCAGAGGAATCAAAGTTGGATTTATTTTGGTCAGTGGAAAGGATTTAATCGTGTGGGCTGAGTTAAAACAATTTAAATAATGTTTAGATTTAATTAGGAGAAAATGAATTCCACGTAGGTGCCACATAGGTAAATTTATGTGGAAATAACGAGATTTAACGAATGAAGGGTAAATATGGCCTCAAAGTTGGATGGCGAGGGCAAATATATCAAAAAAGTATAACAAAGGATAAATATGACCCTTTTCTAAAAGTACAGGGGCAAATATGACCCTTTTCCATTGTTTTATTAGTATGTGTTGTACAAGATAAAATTAAGTTATTTTTTGAATTTTACTATAAATCTATACATTTGAATTAATATTTTTAGTCCGAAAATTTTTATTATTATTTTGAATTCATATTTAGATAGTTTAATTTTTGCGATCATCTTAATAGAAAAGTAGTATATATTTCGACTACTGAATATATGCAAAATAGAATTGTAAATTTTTTAATATAGAATTGTGGCTACATTTCATAAATGTTGTCTTAAGAGTAGATGATAGCGCACACACTTTTCAAATGTGGCCTATAAGGTAGAAATGCAAACACTTGAAAAGTGTCGTTTGAGGCCATTAAAAGTGTTGTCATATAATGTGTTACAAGTGTGGCTTCTAAAGCAACACTTGAAAAGTGTGGCCTTAGGACAAAGGTTACTCTAGATTTGGCCACTCTTAGAAAAGTGTGGCTTTAGATCAAAGACTACGCTTTTTTCACAATTTAGGCCACACTTTTCTAGGGTGGCAAAAGACCTAAAATGTTTTAGTGGTTCATCCGTCCTAGTGTTTTCAAGTGTGGTGCTCTTGTCTTGTTTGTTAGGAAGAAGGAGGGTAGTATGAGAACTGATGATTTTATCTTAATCCATAAGGCAGTGGATTAATACCGGAATGACAAGCTTATAGATAAAGAAAGATCCATTGAGTATACTTGGGTGAAGGAAATTAAAGATTTTAGTAAGAAAGTGCGTATAAATTGGGTTAGTTCTCTAAATTTGATGAGTATACCTGAGTTTGAGGTGTCATGTTGATGGAAAGGTTGACTTCATAGTGATAGTCAAGGATGACGGAGCGTAATGGTAATAAGAGTCGTGATGGATTGTAACAGGATGCAACTATATAATAAGATTGTTGGTTAAGCGAATTTTGTATAGTATTACGACTTGCGAGTACCTAAGGTTGTGGTTTTCTAATATTTGGTGAGTAACGTGGTTGTATGGCAAGCTTTAAGGGATGCTGGGACACCATTCGAATAAAAATTAAAGAGCTAGAGTCATAATGAAGAAAAATAGTGGGATGTAGTGCAACCTTTAGAGAGCGGCGAGAGCAAGAATATTGTATTGATTGCAAAGGCTAAAGAGATATCTTCATAGGGGTAGATAATTGGATTCAGAGACGTGTGATTTCATTCGTTTTGTTATGGTTATGGTAATAGTGTCACAAGTCCGTCAGATTTGGTTAAAAACTATTGGAAAGGACTTGAGAAATGAGTGTACAGACGTTAGCTCGAGTGTGATGATAAGTGCTTTGGTTTTATTTTTGAGTTTAGTAATGAGTATGATGGAACTTTTAGCGAAGGATATTGTAAGATCGATGGAGATGCGATCAATGATAAGCAAAGATCCATGAATTCATAAGAATCTTCAAGGTACAAGCTAATGTTGATAGATAAGGAAATTGTGTTATACAGTTGAATTTATAATTCAGATTTTTCATTGTAAGTCTACATTCGAGGTAATATATATTGTCAAGGTGAGAAATGATCAATTGTATCAGGTATTGAACCTTTGAAAGGACTTACGCCTGGGTTGAGTCGTAGAGTTTATTACTATTGATTGTTAAGTACCTAAGAAAGGTTTCGTTTAAAAACTGTTGGTTTATAATAAGGTAAATGGTCGGAGTGCCTATGATGATTGTTAGTATTGTGAGTATGATTCACTAACTATGCTCTCGTGTGTTTTCACTTTTGGGGGTGGACCATTGGGGTGGATCCCTAATGGTGGATTAGAGGTACCAAATCCTGCGTTGTTCTCTTAGTTGAGTGGGAAGATTGGGAAGATTTGGTTATTTCGAATGACATAATTGGTGTTGTCTTGGAGTTGTTAAAGTATTTTAGTGGTTCTACATGTACCACCTTGCTGTGAGAATTTATAGAAGAGCTACCATGAGTATTTATTGTTGTCCGACAATCTAATATTTCATCTTGTCATCGAGATCATGTATCAATTATGTGTGGTTGAATGTGCGGATCATTGAATCCAATTCTACTATTTTTAAGAGGTAATCTACAATTACTAAATCTAGCATTTCGATAGTGTTGTTGGAGGGGTTGTATGCTTGGACATATCCCACGATCAGTATCTGATTTCTAAAGATAAAATTTGTTATAACTTAAGCTCATGGGAATTTATGTTGTGGGATGGAGATATTGTTAAGAACTATGATTATTTGGGTATTATGAGTGTGTGTTGGTTGATTCAGGTTGACTTCTATTGTAGCGAGTATTGACTCGGAAATTTATCATGCTTAAGTGCTAAAGGATTCGTCCGGATGATTGTGTCAAGGTCCTTGATAACATGTTGTAGACGTGTGTACGATCAACTTTGGTGGTTGTTGGGAATCACTTTTGTTGTAGTTAAGTTTACATACAACAATATTTAGCACTTGAGTATTGAGATGACTTCATTGAGGCATTGTATGGGAGGATGTGTAGGTGTTCAAAAGAGTTGATTTGGTGAAAGATGTTCAGGGTAAGGTGAAAAGTATCCAATCTAAGCTTCTAGCATCCTAGAGTCGACAGAAAAGTATGTGGGACAAGTATCCCCAGTTATTCGACGATTCAGATACCACTATATTCTTGTTTTAGCCCTTTTCTCCTAGTTTGTCACTCGGGGACGAGTGGTGGGTAAATTGGTATCTATTGTAACGACATGTTTCCGTCGTTATAGAAAAGCCAATGGGGAAAGAATTGGGGCCAGAAAACTTTTGAGTAGTAACTTTGGATTTCCTAGCCTAGTCCAGATTTAGATGAAATCGGAGTCAGTGAGGTTTAGGGAAATATGGTAACAATCAGGTGATCTATTTATGATTTTGATTACATGAGTAGTTAGATAAGCCATTAAGGAATCCGTACGACTTTACGGAATGGAATTCGGGTAAGTAGAACTCTCGAAATCAATCTTAGCGTGAATGATATTTTATGAGCTTCGTTGGTTAAAGGTGTGTTGTGTGATGGGGGTCTTGGAATTATTAAAATAGCTCACTGTTTTGTGCAAGCCGCTTTGGCGGAGGTTTTGGTCGCTCTGGCGGTGCCGCTGTAGCGGGATGGGTCCCACCGTAGTGGAACAGACGCGACTTAAGTCGCAAATAAAACCCCAAAAATGTTTATTCTGCACTTTTCGACTTTGAGAGCTAAGGAACGACCCCAGAGGTTTTCTTGACAGTTTTCCACCATTTTTGAGGCTAAAGGTATGGTTTTAATTCCCCGGATCCATTTTTTGATCCGTAGAACGTAATCTAATGGGTAATTATCAATGGGGGAAAGGTTTGATTTGGAAACTAATGGTGAAAAAAGCCCTAAATTGGGTATTAGGATCTTGGGTTTGGTCTAGGAT